ACTAGAACACGCGCATGTAGTGGTCTGACGGAGGCCACAGCACCCACAGCACGCAGGGAAGACGACATGTGTGCACCAGCGCAAATAACAAAGCTCGGCCAAGAGAGAGTACTATACCAGGTGGAGGTGAGCTGGCGCGCGACCGAAAAAAGGGTACATAATAAGTATGTGAGAGACACAAACGGAATCTACGGCAGGCTCCTCCCCATCCGTCTCCAGAGAGGAGTGGCTGTCGTGCCACATCGAGGCTCCTCCTTCAATATCAATTCTGGTCGGAGTTTGCGTGAGGGGGGCCTCAATACAATGATACTTCGTGCTTTGCCTCATCAATGTATCATGACTGGCCACGGCTTCAACCACAATTTCCAAACTTCTCGGCACTCTTGTCTGCCCCAATATATGTGACGCCTCGCACGCGTCTTAGATCAGTGTCGATTATTTGGTACACATACCCAGACTCATGCATATCCTGCGCTTTGTATACGAGGTAACTCCACCGGCAAAGCTCATTTTCACTATCTACCGGAACGCGTAACATCAAAAATTTTACAGATCGGTTCAAAAAGATGCTAAAAAGCAACTCGTCGCGACGTCTAACATAGCCGTGCCGTTCGTCGTGGTCTTGCATTTTTATTATTATTTGGGGAGTATTGCGTGGTTGTACATCTGTAGGAGACATGTCATGTCACTGATCAACACCTCTACTTCGTCTCTGGGAACGCTCAAGCGATCACAGATGGAAAACACGTAAGATGGCGCGCGATGTATGCGTTGAGGCGTAGCTGATGATAGTTGCAGAAGGAAGACATCAGCCCTGGTGACCATGTCATCATTCCTGCGGGGATGCTGCACAATGTGAGCACAAACTTCGCACATCAACTCACTGTATATCTCCTGCTCAGTTCGGCAATACTGGCCCGACGCCTCTGATCATCTCCACGGTAAGCCCCTGATAGTCACAGCCCATGCTTCCACTGATGCGTCCATATAGGTCTATGCGCCTGCAGAGCATAAGACAGATACGGTCCACGATAATCTGTTGCAGGGCGAGAAACTGGAGGAGGGTAAGGAAGAGCCTCCGCAGTGGGCAAAGCAGTGAACAGGTTTGCGTGCAGTTTCAGTATTTCAAGGAATGGAAGATTTAGGATGGACACCAAATGAAATGGGTCTCACGTAATGTATCCGTTGCGAGACACCAGCGCGCAAACGTTGCATAGTCCGCCACACGCCAACACATTGTTGTTATTATAACATCCAGTGGAATGAGCTGTCAGAGATAGGTTCAAGAAGATGCCAGGCACAAAAGAAGTCATAGCAACGCTTGATACAATCGTGCCGTTCCCGGCCGCCTTGCATGAATTCTGGGAGTACTGCGTGGTCATATATTTGCGCGTGAAGCAAGGAGAGAGCATCGAATGAATGCAGAGAGACGACGTGCTCCGCTCTTCAATTTTGGTGGTTCGCGCTGGTTCTCCGGACGCGCCTGGGCTGCACCCTCCAACACAGGTACGTATCGTGTGAGCCTCCACAGAATGCACATTCCTTCAATTTGAAGTTGTTTTTTTTTGTCTTTTTCGGGACAGTCATATACCCAATGGCCAGGATCACCGCACGCAGGGCACGGGATCGAAGGCTTGCGTTCAACACGGTGGGTACAATTGCGCGCAGTATGTCCACTCTGCTGGCAAATGAAACACTTCTTGCGGTAAGCCCTCTGGACCTCTATAGGCGCAGTGCAGTCGACACTCCAATGATCGTCGCCTCCGCAATGATAGCAAGGACTCCGCGGCTTGATATATTTTTTGTCGGGGCACTCATGCGTGCGGTGGCTACCGTGGCATGCTAAACAGACAACCACGTTTCGAGGACAATCTCTGAAGTGGTGTGGGCCTCTGCAGTGAAAGCAACGAATCCTTTTCTTTGAATTGCCAACTGCGGACGGCCACCCCGCCTGGCGGTCACGGGAACTCGAGGGTGTTTGTGGACCTTTGTCAACAGTCTCCTTTGAATTGCCAACTGCGACAACGTCCACTGGTTGGCCGGACGCGCTCGGGAAGCACTCTCCGACACTGGCCTGTAGCATCCGAGCCTCCACAATGTGCACATTGAAGCTGGGAATTTTGTCTTTCTCAGTACAGTCATAGACCCCATGGCCAGGATTACCGCACGCAGGGCACAGCTTCGAAGGCTTGTGTTCAACACGGTCGGTAGAATCGCGCGCGGTGTGCCCTCTCTGTCCACAAACGACACATTTCTTGCGGTAAGCGTCTTGCACCTCTGCGGGCGCAGTGCAATCGCGCGCGGTGTGCCCTCTCTGCCCACAAACGACACA